GGAACGACGAAATAACTGTGATTACCTCGTTTGTTGGGTCATGTCCACCATTCACAGTGCAATCGAGCCAAACAGAAGAAACAACACGCACTCATTTTCTACAGGGTAGTTATTTATAGATGAACTAGTTCATTGTAGGAAATATGCACAGAATGTGCGGCACCAAATATGTGCCGATTCCATTAAAAAAGCGTAAGATGCAATGAAACCAAAGCACAATTTCGACAGAGAAAGCCATATATCTTGAAAAAATGCATCCGCATTTTATGCTTCCAAAGATCTTATTTTCGTTTAAGAGATGATGCTTGTTTGAGCGCTCACATAAACAAACACTTCAGGTTCTATTGCTTGAAATTTGAAAATGAGTTTTTTCCTTCCTAATGCAAACCGATTCAAAGCGAATCACTTCCATGTGAATCGTTTCGTCATTGCGTTGGATACTCTAAAATGCACAGCTTGTTTAGCATGGGATTTCATTTGTGCATGGGCGAAGCGTAAACATCGTTGCACTATTTTGATTGCCTTTCCATACCAAGCTAGGTAGGTGTATCATCGTACGAAATCCATTATGAAAGCGTAGTGCAAGCGAATGATGTCATGTAGTAATACGCTATGTCATCGTTTCGTGTTACGGCACCAAAGTGCAAAGAAGAAGCGAGAAAAAAAACGGGCGAAGAAGGAGTTTGCGCATCGGCTTATTGGCTGTCTGTATGATTGTCAGTTGGTGTTTAATTTTTGGTTCAGTGAACTTTTTGCCGATTTGATTCCGTGCCAACTGTAACGTACACACCAGGAAAATTACGACACAAATTGCCTTTTCCGGTAAATGATATTTGTCAAGCACTTCTCGAGTATTGCAATCGATTTACGTTGATTAGAAAATAATTCGATTGTCTGATGATACTGAACTGCGCAACGGCATAAATGCAATCCAATGGATTAAATGGCAACGAAGGGAAAAAAAACCAGCTTCAAGTGTGCGGGAATGAGATAATCGATGCAGTTCTATCATGCTGACAAACCCCTTTATCAATAAACAGCACACATTATCCAATTAAGACACTGTAACTCAATGCGTTGGCATTGAAAACAAAGCATATCAAGGCATGAGTCATGTTACCATCGATTAAGTTCACTTTGAACATTCAACATTCGAGCTGTGGCATCAGGCAGATAAAAGCCAAGACACAACAAACTCATAATTCGTCGCCGTATGATTTTCACTTATTCAATTTCCTTTCCCATTGTTCTCGCCAACTTTGCTTCAATGAACACCAAATGTCCCGATGCAATCGTTGTTTTTGATGGATTCACGCGCTCTCTCTCTCTCTCTTTGCCGCACTTTATCTGGCGAAAGGAGATAAGTACACAAAATTCGGCATTGTTCGTCTGCAACCGCAACAAAAGTCGTAAATATCGATTTAATTTGTCTGCATTGTTCCATAATGTGATGCTATTTCGGGAGTTTCACTCTGTCTTGACATTCTTATTCAGTGTATTTGAGTTTGTTCATTTCATCCATTCATCCCTGTGATGTGTACACAAACAACTCGACTCCTGCAATTTTGCTCGAGATCCCGTTAAATGGCACTCTTTTAATGAAGCAAAAAAATAACGTTTTTCACATTTTCAGTCATCTCATTTTACGATCCAATTACCCTTTCCACTCGAGATGCTGCTTCTGCTGCTGCTGCCGCCATTCAAGCAGTCATTCAAGCGTCACAATGTATGATGTCAATTTATCATAACTCTTAATTTCATATAAATTGCATTTATGGATGAAAATTACAATGTACGAAACGGCAATAGAACCACAACGGCCATGGCGCTGTTGCCATATAAGTGAAAATCTAACAAAAAAAAATGCTTGAAATTAGAGAATATGTGTCTGAATGGAGATAACACACCCTTTGCACCTCACATCATCAGCAATATTTTCGGCCGGCGTGTCATTTGCATATGCGAAACACCACGAACCGCATAGTGCTGTTGCCTGAGGCGAGCACATCCAACATTGAACAGCGCTTCAGATAAGAATCTCACTGTTCCGGAACACGTTAGGGAAGTATTTTCCACTTGGCAAGAACACGAGAAAAAGTGTGTCTTTTAATAAATGAAAAGGGCTGCTCAATGCATTTTAAATGTGACAAAATGAATTGGACCGAAATACACTGGAGTGGATATAGGCAAAGTGACGACGAAAACAGCATGAATGGAACAACAACCCTAAATAATAAATGCAAGTGTTTTTCGCGCACCGCGTTCTTCAAGCGACCTGCTAACCCCGACTGGATTCGACTTTTTCGACCAATTACAATGAAATTCAAATGTAATACCGACTTTTAGTTTGTGTACGAAAACAGCACACACACACAGAGAAAACAATATGCAAATACCGACATCGAGTGCGAAAAAGGTTTTTCAGCATATTCCGTTTGAGCACTGTAAACCCGTACACCAAAATTCTAATTCATCCGGGTGTCGTGCACTTATCATTAATTCGCTTCACTGCATTTGGCATTAAGCACCGCATAATGATTCAAAATAACAATTGAAATTAAATTTTATGCCGAAATGAATGGGTCGGTCGTTGTTTTGTTGTTTTTGCTGCTGTTGCTGCTGCTCATTTGCATATGAGAACATTGAAATGATATAAAATTCGAATTTAGAAAAAAAAATAAAACAACAAAACGAAGCGTTGGAATTAAAATGCACCGATTCGGTATCGTCCGATTCAATCACAATTTTGTGAAAACGCCTCTGCTTGATCGCGTCAAGCTTCAAATAAATCTAGCACAGTATTTTATTACATTTGAGCTTGGCATTTGGGTGAGTGTGCGTTTCGATTTGGTTGGAGAAACAAATAGCGGGTGTTAAAATTGAGAGACAATGTTTCAAATGTCACATCAGATTGAATTGACAAAACGGTTTGGGTTCGTTCCAAAATCGGAAAGCAAACAATTGTGATATTTCATCCAACATCGAGATTAGTTGTCACTACAATGGCTCTGCATAAATTACAGGAAAAGAGCAACATTTTGTCTGTGAAAAGTGTCGCCGATTCAAAATGGTACAAGTTTTAAGTATAAGGAAAAACTCAAAGTTCAATAATCAAGTGTATGCCCCCAACGAATCCACTCTCAATCAGATAACCAAGTCAAAAGAACATCATTTTCTTCCGAAAACATTGTATAACTTTCATATTAAAAGGTAAAGGTACACACAAACCGTTCATAATCCCCGGCAAAGACGATGTCCCAATATTCTCCGGTACGGTTTGTGCGTTTGAAATGTATTTTGAATCTTTTATTGCACATAAATCACATGCGATGAATGAAAAGTAAGGAAGAACATGCGGCATTCTATTCATTCTGTTCTCGGCACAGATACGACGTGGCATTTGTACGTGTTATTGCTGTGTGTGCGCGCCCGTGTCTACCTTTGTAGTGAAAAGCGTGTGCAAATCCAATGATGAAAACATACAACTGCAAGGGATGCTACGATTGTGGAATAGGGTACAACAGTTCACCGTTATTGCATCTATCATCGTTTTTTTTTCTACTCGACCATATAAACTGAGACTGTATATAAATTTTTGGAAAATGTGTGTTTCTTTTTTGTTCGCTCTGTGTGTGTGTGTCGCTCGACGCAATGCCGTCGAGAAGGGTACATAAACGGTTATGTGCCGTAAATGCTGCATCATAATTTTTATATTCAATCATATTACACCAAAAATTAAACTCGAATAGGAAAAATGAATTTCAGTGTATTTGCTCAAGCGTAACGAATTCTCTCATCCCATCTCGTGTATTCGACGATTGAGAGGCCCATATTTGCTGGTTTTGTGTTCAATGTTTGAAAACATTTTTTTTTTGATATCGTCGGAAGATATGAATTTCGCCGACGGAAATACGTTATCAAAGGGAATTGCGTCAATTTTTCACCAAACAGAAGCGAAGTATTTGATTTTCGCGGAATTTATCGTCTTTGAGCAGCTGCGTTTTTTTTTTCGTTGATTTCGTTCCTTTGAACTTTTTGATACCGTTTATTTTGACAGACGATAGAACCAAAGCCGCTTAGTCAACAAAATAACACAATCATTCAGTTGATAAAATGGATTGTTTTTTGCGTTTGGGCTCAAGTTTTTTTTTGGCAGAACCTTGACTGCTAGACTTGTTTTGACTTTGATACGGAAATAATCAAGTCGAACCAGTTACCATCTATCGAACCGCTTTTTATACACGGTGCACGCAAAGAATCACTCATCACAATATACACTCTGCTTCTTCGAAACGAATGATATTTCAATAAATCAATTAGAAATTGATCGCAATTAAAACAAGATCATTTACGGTCGGGTTTGGTTTTTGTATCAGAAAAAGTATTGCTACGATAAACAAAGTATTGTATTTATTTGGTTGTTTCATAAACAAACGCGATAAAACCGTATCGAGGTGCCGATAAAATAGTGCTAGCGAGTTTGTTTGTTGGTGAGAAATTGTATATTATTCGCATTGAGAATATTTTAAACAAGCCGCCGCAACAATAATATCGTTGAATATATTGAATCGACTGAAGTCACGACGCAGACTTTGAGTATACGCAGAATTAAACTTGGAATTATTAAATGACGTGTGACTCATGATTTTTTTTTTTGCATATAAGTCTATTTGACGTCAGATTTTTTTTCAAATTCCGTCGATGATTTTCTACTTCAGTTTAGGAAGTGTTGTCATCATTGAGATGCACGGAAGTTTCGAGCTTAGTCGATAAAGACGACTCAATATAGATGATTAGCCGGAGCTAGAAAAAGGGAACATGTTTTGAATTGAGTTCAGACTCCAGAAAATAATGTGCAACACACATTATAATGTGTCTATAATTTATTCCCGCTTTATTACTCGATACCGGTTTGCATGGTGTATATAATTATTCCGAATAAACACGAGAAAGGTTCAAAGGGCGAAGAAAATATTAATTGCTTTTAATTAGTTTCTTACCGAATAATTTTCGCTGCTCACACCGGCTAACTCCGAAATTGTTCTCGTCGAAAGATGTTTCTTAATTAAAATTCCACCGCTTGAGATTAATCACTTTGTTTTCTAAATCGTTTAAACACTATGCTTTTCTTTGCAATATTTTATATTCAAAACTAATTTCAATGTATTTTCAAAATATTTCTTCAAAATTTTCCGGATCAATTGAATTTTCTCAGTAGAAGAAACAATAAATGTTTCAACAAGGTTTGTTTTCTTCGATCTTCTTACACTTTCTTCGATTTAATTAACCAAAACTGAAGATTTTCAATTGAAATAAATTCACATACACTCAAGAGAGAAAAAACTAACGTCAATGCAAATTGAACTCAATTAACATTTGGCACTTGTATTCTATTCGCTTACGAAACCGGCATCGGATGAGCACACCGTGTGATAAAAGTATGTTGTAATAACTGATAGTACACAATTGAACAAAACTCCAAGGTGATATTGCTTGTTTTACAAGCAAAAAACAAAAACTGTTGCGAATACGTGTTTGTTTCAAGTGTGTTCTTGTGAAATCAACAAAATGATGTCATTGATTGAAATCGTTAAAATATTTTTCGAATATTCTATCTGACTTGCAATTTAGCACACAGAACAAAACTGGAACGGTTTATATGTCAAGCAATTTTGATGCTGTGATAATTTCGATTTTATTCTCAACCGTCTCGATGACTCGTGTCTCTCTTAAACAAACTACGATTATGCGGCTATCGAAAATAGCAACAACAATCAATTGGACGATGTGTGTAAAAGTTTTTTTTGCGCAAACCTCAAACACGACTTTTTCGGTTAACGTTTGAATATCATCTGTTGTGAATGGTATACACAGAGCGGCAAGCGCGATTGTGCGAACATGCGACGGTTGTACATTTATTTATGAAATTTCGATGTTTTGAATGACTAACACGGTAGACGGCGAGTGTCTGTGTGCGATTCGTCTCATACATCTGTCCGTTACGTTGCGTACGCTGTAGCGAACGCACCACACAGCCACAGTGTGAGTGCACACTGCACACATTGAACGGTGTGATTCATGATTCTCGCTTGTAGACGATTGGTGGAGATTTCGGCCGTGGAGAATGCCTATTTGAAATTCTGATTGTGGATATGTGAATTTTTTTTTGGCAATTTTCCATACAATCGAAATAAAAAAAATTGTTAAGTACTTGCAAATGATTTTCAAATGAAATTGATTAATTTACATTGTTACGAAATAATGTTTCAAATCGAATTTAGTTGAAAATATCAAAAGACTCTCTCTATTTACTCTCCATTTTTCCAATAGGGTTGGCGCATGACCGTCTAGTGTTTCCACATCGAAATAGCATTGAAATGAGAAGAGGAAAAAATCGAAGAGTCTTTGTTTGACAGCTCAAGTCCACCTTTTCTCACAGAGTAAAATCAATCAATTTAGTAGTAGGAAGCCTTTTAACTCGTAAACATTTTTCACTAGTGAATAATATGATTTGAATTAGATTCCGCAAAAAGGTAACAATTGATATTCCGTAGAGTGCATTTCAAAAACCCATCATCATTCGATAAATCATTTAGTGAAGCGAAACGCCGCAGACGAATAAACGCGAAACATTTTTTGTGAAAGAAAAGAAAAAGTTGACGACGTCACAAGAAAACAGTTCACATAGAGAGAGAGTGTGTGTATTCTTTGCCATTGGCTATACGCGAGAATTGCATTCATAATATTGGGAGTATACGTCCCAATTCCATTTACCTCTTTTGCGTATGTATCTGAATGAGATTCCAACAAGATTGCTCTCAATTTTCACATTTGTGCTTCACTTCAATCTTTTAATTTTCTACCAAATTGGCTGCTTATTTATTCTGTGGTTCTCGTTCACTTTGTTGTTTTTTTTTCTTTCGTGCTTTTATTGCTAATCCACATAGAATGATTAGCTTGAGATGGGCAGAGCCATTTTTTTTAAGTTCGTGTGATGTCATCGATTTCTCAAGCGTTGCGACAAAAAGACGCAACATCTTATTTTATCTGCAATTTATATATAGTTTTCGTTTATTATTGCGATTATCGATTTTTCTCACACTGTATCAATTGTTATGTCTGCATTTTTCACGCATTTTTCTAACCGTGCAAAGAATGGAAAAATTGATAATGTTTTGTTTGTTGTTTCGAAAATAGGAATTCTAGTTAGATTTGAATCATTTCACCACGGCGTCGGTACAGGCTAAAAAAGCGATGGATCGTAAAGCAGAATTGGAGCGGAAAAAAGCCAAATTGGCGGCCATCCGCGAAGAAAAAGAGCGTCGCCGACGTGAAAAAGAAGTAAAAGACATGGAAGATGCTACGAACAAATTAGCGACGGGCCCCGAGAAAGACTCGCATCGGTGAGTGGAACGAACGATGGGATGGTATTATCACTAGCATGCATAACAACTAATTTTTGTGTCTTTTTGTTTGGTTATAATAATAGAAATTTGGATGAGATGCTTTCATCATTGGGCGTTGCTCCGGTGTCAGAGGTGCTGTCATCCCTGTCATCAGTTAATTCGATGACATCGGATACATCAGTGAATGCGACACCAGATGGAAGTTTGCAACCAGCTAGTCTCAATGGAACGAGGTTTGATCAATATTTGCACTCATTTTCTAAAGAAATGTTTATTTTTCTCTACGTTTTCATCAATTGTTGCCCCATTTGATTTCAGTTCGCGAGCAAGCAAACGATCAACCACTAGTCTTAGTGTTGTAGCCGTTCAAGCTACCGAAATTCCGCCAAAGGAAACAGTCACGTATTCGAAACAAACGCAAACAGCCAACACTGGCGGTGTTGAGCGAGATGGTGGGTACAATTTTAAAATGCCAATTGTTCGTTTATGTGAATGGATGTATATACTCAAGCCTCTAACACCATTGCTTTGTCAACACAGCCAATTAATTTAATCCATGCATTTATGGTTTTATAGTTTCTATTGGTTCTATCGAAACATTCAAAAGCAATTATTTTCTTCAATTTATTGTTGTTGTATTGCCTTGCGTAACTTTCTTATTTTATCCAAATCTTAAATTCACTTCGATTTGTTTCGTTTAACACACTCTCAATTGCACATTTTCGTTTTTTCATCTATCCGCACGATCTACTTACGTTATATCCAATTTTCGCTGCACCAATTTTATTTATTACAATTCGTTACTGTTTTCACTGTATGTCATTTTCTTCCGTTGTTCAATGTTTGTATCCACATTTTGGGAATATTCTTTCCAAAAAAACAAAAACAACAAAAATCTGCATTTGATGAATTAAAAATAAAAATAAAAATAACGGATTCAGTTCTTTCTTGCCATTCCTCACCTTTGTCAGGATATATGGAAGATTGGTGGCGGCCACGCAAAGGTACAACATACACTGTATATACATTCAATAAAAATGCTCATTCCAAAACTATTTACTCTAAACAGGAAAAATCATTTCTCATTATTTGTTATATGGAAATAAATTCTCATCCGATTCATTTCCAATTTTAAGCCCGTGCTTGACGATTGACTAACGATTTTTCTAAACTACAAATCTGATCAAAATATTACTTTTGGCAGATTGTTCTAGCAAAAAACTGATAAAACTTTATTTCTCGTTCCATGTTTACAAATGCAGCTCACGCCACAGACTACTACGGTAAGTGATACAACTTTTTAACAATAGTTTTTTTTCTTCTTTTGGAAAATGCTTCGATTTATTGAATCACGAACATAATTTAGGAGAAATGTTGAATTTATGCAATTTTCGAGTTGTTGTTTTTTTTTTGTAGACGTAATCTGCATTTTGCGTCGATTTCAATTATCTCTCTCAGTTCCATCACATGGAATGATACGTGTGACGGCATATTTTTACACGGAACTTCGTTCACAGTGCGCCGAGCACTAGCTACATGTAATAACGTGTGGTTTCTTATATTCGAATACGTTCGCTCTATATATAGCAAGTGCTCGGCGCACTGGGAACGAAGTTCTGTGTGAAAATATGCCGTCACACGTATCATTCCATGTGATGGAACTCAGAGAGATGATACGATTCTCAAATTATTCCTGTTTTATTTTTTTTTATCCGTATCGAGATTTTAATTCAATCGGCATTTAATTTTTTGTTTATTCTAGTCATTTTTTTTTTTATTAGAAAGCTTGATCCAATTTAATTCGTTTTCTTTATTTTTAAATATGAGAAAAGTTGAATACATTTTTCTCCACCCATTCTGTTGTACGTACATACGCTTCTGATGCCAAAATATGTTCGACAAAAGTTGTTTCAACGACGATCAAAACGTTGTGGTAACATTTTGTAGTGAATTATTTGGCTTTATTCGTATTATTTGAATCATTTAACCATGATATCAGTTCACGTAAACTTATTTAGTGAATAATTTGCGATTTACGTTTATTACGCTATAATCATAATTTTAAGCGCTTTTTCATCATTTATTATTGTTTTTAAATGGCTTAACCATATTTTAATTCGCAATAAGAACATTTCAATGAATTCAAATCTTAATTTTCAACATTCTAGTCTTAGACGTTTTCACGTGCATGAAGACACTAAACTAAGTTCCACACATCAATGTTGCCATTTCTGTTGTTTTCAACATTTTTACCTCCTTCTCCAGAAGACAATTTTTCCAAAGTTCATTTAGAAAGTGGAAATTTACTTAAGTTTTTTTCAGCTCTTTTGTTCCCTTTTAAAAAAAAATTTAGTCCGAACAACCCAAAACACTAGAATCACAAAATTTACAAAAAAATTAATAATATTTTGACCCTGCGTTTCTATTTGGTTAAATCCCTAATTTTTTATTTGCATGAATGTATTTCGTACACTTTATATTTCGTATTCGTAGTGCAGTTGATTTTATTTTCAATTCCGTAGCGATTCGTTTTTTAGGAGTTTTTATTTCGTTGATGTTTGGTTTTGCACTTTAGAAATGTCGTCACCGTATGGCGAGTGCCGTTGGCGTTCGCTTCGCTTCAATTTTATTTTGATTTTCTTTTTTGAATGAATGAAGTCGTTGGGCTCAAATCGAGTCATTTCAACCGCGAATTTTCTGTTTTGTATGCCCAGCATTTTCTCCGATTGATTTTACTTCCTATCTTCAGTTGACATTGTAAATTGATTCGTTGCTTGAACTTATAGCTTGTTTTGAAAAAATCAGAATTATCTGAATCACGACCTAAGAAAAAAAAGAACAAAAAATTTCTATGAAAAATCGTAAAACGCCTGAAAAGTAAAGTTAGCATTTCTCTCTTCTTTTTTTCTTTTTTTCAAGATGAATACAATCTTAATCCTGGTTTAGAATGGGAAGATGAGTTCCAAGGTAAGATATCTAAGCCGTCAGCGCAAGCGATACACACGCATACACGCTTCAGAATGGCCCGACAATTGCCTATTTTATTGCATAGGAAAACTTGGGCTACGCTGTAAAGAAAAACAAAGCAATTGCGCCAAAGTATTTTACCGTCTTATTTGGCGCGAAAGAGAGTGTTATTGCACGACGATCGGCTTCGTTTTCGCGATTGGTTTTGGTGGTTGAAACCCTTTCGGGGAATCGCATAGGCCACATCCAATTGAAAATCGAATGACATTTTACTTTGAATGAATGCATTTTGTGTGGATGCGTATACTTATTTCTTTTCCTCTTCCATTTTCCACTCTATCTGGTGATTTGTATCTCGCTACTAATGAACCAACTAATCGCTTGTCCTCAAGTAGCTCATGACATACTCTATTTGCAAGTGTTCTGTCCTCTTTTAATTAACCATCCGTATCAGAAAAAAAAAACAAATTCGTCGCATTGAATGTAGAACAAAAAGGGAATCACAGTAGAATACACATGGGAACACGAAAACCATGCTAACTTTTACATACGTTTATCTGTATTTAATCCAAGCGATGGGTCAAGATGAATTAATTTTTGTTTATTGTCATGTGGAAAATGCAAAAATTTCTATATAAATCGATCATAGTTTTCAGAATTGACACAGAAAAATACACTGACAGTAGATATATATATATACATTTGTTTTGGCGCGCAAATTCTCATTGATTCAAAATTTAGAATGTGTATTGCACCCAAAGCAAAACTCACTATATTAATCAAAATTCATTGAAGACAAGTGTGATAAGCACCATCATCATCGAAACGAAGTAACTAAGCTAAATTGCAAATGCATTGTGTGACATCTTAAATTTTGAATGAAACATCACATGTGTGTGCTAGTCAAACAATCAAATGGGTGGAGAAAATTGGCCAGCTGATATTCCGTATAATAAGAATTTTCGATGCTAAAGCTACATGTTTATGTATTGTCTAAGATGTTATCCGACAGTTTTGGATTTAAGCGATTTAATTTTTAAAATTCGGAATTAGCATAAAAATATTGTATTTAGCTGAAATGTCTGCCATGGATAAAAAAAAAACACCAGCGAATAGTTTGTTTGAAGCAATAATTTTTTTTATGCATTCAACGGCGCAATTTACCAATTCAAAACGCACCATTTCATATTCTGATTGAGCACCGAACTTTTAAACCGTATTTAATTTTGTATTCTTTGGAACAATAACAACTGGATTCATCCAAAAGTCTAATTGAAAAACATTTGTTTTTGATGGAAAACTAAAGGCATGTCTCAAAACTGAACTATCGTGACTAAAATTGCATTAAAACCAAAAACAAAAGAGAAAAAAAAACATACACACATTGGGAAACCAGGAAAAAAAAATTCGGAAATTCTACGTGTCTCTCCTAGTTATTGTTCTTGTTCTTGAAAACCTGTCCTCGTGTTTGTCTGTTGTATGGTGTGAATTTTGCTAGCAATGTTAGTTTTGTTACTTACACAGTGCTTACTTTTGGTGATGCCCAAGGGGACGATGATGAAAATTCGCTGCCACACATGGATCATGGCTTTCATTCAAAACTACCGCCTGGCATCCTGCCACATGGGCTTCCCACTGTGCAAGAGGTCGCTCCAGCCATCACACCGCAAGAGAAAAAGAACAAAGAAGATGAAAAGAAACCAAGTGAGTTCGATCGACGATACGAACAATAAATTTTCTTTGCCTGGCATTTTACAATTAAAATCACCGTTTTTTTTTAAATCCAATTTTCAGTTGTCGAACTATCCGAGGAACAGAAGCAGATGATCATTTTGTCGGAGAATTTCCAGAAGTTTGTCATGAAAACTGGACGAATTATGGAACGTGCTTTGTGGGAAACGGAGGATATCTACGCAGACTATATCGGTGGCAGTGATGTTGATGAAACAACGTAAGTAGCTTTGCATTCTTCTTTCGATATTCTTCACTCGAAAGAATGGTTTCGTTGACAGAATTTCATAAGAACTGTTGTTATTTAACATAAAAAAACCGTCATGAAAGCCCTAAATTCTAAAATATTTTTTATTAAATGCATTTTTTTTTCAAATTCTCCTGCCAGCGATGAGAAATCTCACGCCAAGCTATCTCGAAACCGTGTCTTCTATTGTGATCGTTGGTCGAAAAATCGTTGCGTCACTTCGATGGATTGGTCAACCCATTTCCCTGAGCTACTATTGGCATCATACCACAACAACGAAGAATCACCGAATGAACCGGACGGCGTTGTTATGGTTTGGAATACGAAATTCAAGAAGGAAACGGCTGAAGATACGTTCCATTGCCAGAGTGCCGTTATGTCAGCCTGTTTTGCAAAATTTCACCCAAACCTTATACTAGGTGGCACATATTCTGGTCAAATCGTTTTATGGGATAATCGCGTTCAAAAGCGTACACCAATCCAACGAAGCCCATTGAATGCAAGCGCACACACGGTGAATGTCTTTGATTTTATTTTCTTCGATTTTGCTCAGAAAAAAAAATGATGCAAAATTTCATTTTATTTCATTTTTTTTAAATGAATTTGAATAATAATTTGGTGATTCGTTTATTTTCAGCATCCGGTCTATTGTTTAGGAATGGTCGGTACACAAAATGCTCACAATGTCATCTCAATTTCATCCGATGGTAAACTTTGCTCATGGAGCTTGGATATGCTGTCAACTCCACAAGAAATCCTAGAACTACAATACAAGTAAGTTTAAGTTTGCCATACAAATCTCAAACGTTCAAAAAAAAAATTCACTGACAATCGACATTTTCCTTTTGTAGACAATCAAAATCAATTGCGATCACAAGTATGGCATTCCCCAAGAATGAAATCAACAACTTCGTTTTGGGCAGTGAAGATGGCAATGTTTACTCAGGTGAGTTGATTTTAAAATATCACAATGAATGTAAATGCCGCTGGGCCATACTTCTAGTCAAGTGGAACAAAAATATGACGACACAATCTCAACAGCGTGCTATTGCAATGACATCATACGATTATTTTTAATTGGTTTAACTTGTTCACGTGATTATTTGAACTGGAAAACTAATTTCGCTCTAAGGTATGGCGCACTTTGACAGAAACGACTTTTTCTTCTACCTTTTTTTCTGTCTCGAAAAGAAATTGTTCGTAAGCGATTACGATTAAAGACGATTGTTTTTTTTTTGTCGCTATTCAGTTCAATATGTTATCACATTTCATTGGGCAATAATAACAAACGATATGTTCGTTTACAGGTTGCCGACACGGAACACGACCTGGAATCATTGATGCATACGAAAAGCATTTGGGACCTGTTACTGGCATTTCAACGCATTACAACCAATCGTCGCCTGATTTTGGACATTTGTTCTTAACGTCATCGATCGATTGGACGATCAAATTGTGGAGCCTCAAAGAGAACAAACCACTCTATTCGTTTGAAGACAATTCCGATTACGTTTGCGACGTGGCCTGGTCACCAATTCATCCGGCATTGTTTGCCAGCGTTGATGGCAATGGCCGCTTGGATTTGTGGAATTTGAATCAAGACACAGAAGTTCCAACGGCTTCGGTTGTGATTGACGGTGCTCCAGCATTGAATCGTGTGTCGTGGACACCGTCCGGATTGCATGTTACAATTGGTGATGACTCAGGCAAAATCTATGTGTATGATGTTGCTGAAAATTTGGCTACGCCACGAATGGATGAATGGACCAAATTCGCAGCCACACTCAACGAACTGAAAATGAATCAAGCCGATGATTTTGAAAGTATTGAAAAGAAAACACCCATTCCACAGCCGATCAGCAGCGTTAGCGGTCCCGAGTCACTCATATCGACTAAGAGTTTCGTTTAGAGAGGGAAAATGTGAAGGAGGAACAAATCGGTTTGCATCAAATATTCCTCTGCTGTACATTTTAACTGTAGTTTAAGCCAAACACAGCTGAAATTGTAATGTTTGAACATCAAGCTTTTAATGTTTTCTTTTCTTTGAGTATTCAAACTATCAATACATGTAATCCCGAATGCTGCTCTAGGTAAATAATAATGATCAATAAACTGAATTGGCGAAAATACTGAATATTTATACTAAAAATTAGAAAAAATCCGTTTTGATTTTCAATACTTTGATTTCTCGCACGTTTCAGTCCGTGTAATCAAATTTGGCATAGTTTCGGTAAGTGTTTACGTTGAATCAGCGAGAGAGAATAAGACCAAAATTCCAAATACTATATTATATGTAAAAGTTCAAATTTATTTCGACGTTGGTGTTATGTTAATCACTTTTGGCCTCTTTCTTTGCACCTAGCGACATCTAGTGCCGGTCTTGCAAATCAAATGGACTCCGAATGCAATGTAGTATCCTCTATTAGAAGGATGTTAGTGCATGACAGTTGAACATAAAAACACAGCAGCTGCACAAATCAATAGTCCAACAGATGCAAAATCCACATTATGCATTAGACGAGACCAATCGCTTGGCTAGAGTTGAATTTATTTTTGATTTCATATTTGCACATATTTATTTTTTTAAATCCATATCCATAGCTTCAGTATGTGGTAATCTTGCGTTGATAGGCGAGGAGTCAAAAGTGCAAAATCGATTTATTAAATCCTACAGAAAAATTGGCGATGTGTTCAAACGTCATGATGATGATTGCTAATGATAATTTATTAGACCAATATATAGGCTAGTTTTTGGAGCATTGCATTATGCAGTCTACGAAATTGAAGGAATGAAAATTGTGGACAGCCTAGACTTGATTACCGCAAATATAAAAAAAAAACTCGGAAAAAGGCGTAAAAATTTGAAGTAGATATTTTCTTCATTTTTCACCTTTTTTAAGCTATACATCAGTTTATAAAACTTGTCAGTCGATCAAAAATATGATTTTGAATAAATAAATTAATATGTAATAGGAAGCTCAATGGAAAATTGCATTTTATTGAGATTTTTTAAAAATTGTTCAAACTAGAAAACGCACAAAAACTCGCAAAATCTCGCTCTTCTTTGTTTTCGTGAATCGCCCCTTGACAGAGAGGGTATTGAAAAAAAAGAGTCGATTACCGCAAATATAATTTAATTGATACTCTTCGTTCCTCAAAACGCAGTCTTAAACCATTAATATGTAAAAATTAATGCTGTCCTATATGAATAATGATCAATAAACTGAATTTGCTTTACTGAATATTTAAAATAAAAAACGGCATTTTGATTATTACTCCCCTGACATATTCAATAGAGCGTTGAAAGCATTTTGCATGCGTGATGTTTGCAAAAAATCCTAACTTTTCGAATGCCGACCGTGCGTTTCCATGACTCTGACTATGCGGCTAATCATATTGTTTGATCGATACATGTCTTTCAGTGTTCACCTGAGTCTCATGTGTCAAAACTGTACGGAAATCCATTAAGATATAAAAAATGAAGAACATTGCTGAAAATTAAACGGAGGGTTCATTAATACGGCAAACGAAAGGTAATGTAAGTGATTTTCTCACGTGCTTATTCCATATATATACATGAGTTGTTGTTTACATGTGCATTCATAATGAATGAATATTGTGTGCATTGGGAATGGGAAACGTGGAACGAAACGTCGCCGTATAAACATAAATTAGATTTGCGGTAACTCATACGTGATAGTTTTTGTATTTGGGGTGTTGAACCGTACAATGTTGTATGTTTAAAAGAATTCAATTTTCGACATATGACTCGAAACCATTAAACCGATGAAATTTTCACCTCGGAACCGCATGGTACAAATCATATCTGGGAAAATGTACATATATGCTATTTCTTTCCCTTTTTATACAGGAAAATTCATAGGTGGAAGAAAAGGAGGGAAAAGTCAGGAAAATACGGTAAAATTCTTTGTGGTGTGGGTGCTAAGTAAAATATCTACCATCAACAATGGAATTCGTTTTAATGACAACCACTTCGACTCCGACCACGTCGAGGAGCGGTTCGGTTATGAAGTTCGGAGACTATAGGTTTGTTGCCGCTTTATTAATTCTATTTGTATCGAATCTGAAGATTACCAACTTTCGCAGAGCTAGCTCATTTGAGCTTTAGAATTTCGAATCAAAATTATAATTCTATGGAGATCAAGAGTTGAAAAATAAGAGATATTGCCTCCAGCTTCTTGTTCTTACCCATAGAATTTTGAAATAAACGAACTTTTTTCAATAAATCATCTAAAATCAATTACAATTTCAACAGAGAAGACGATCAAAAAATCGATGAAGCAGCAGCTTTGCCGCTGGAGAAGGAGTTTCTCCAAATTGGATCGGATTCCGATGATGAAGATCAGGCATTGCTCGAAGGATTCAATGTGTTGAGTGCACGTCATCGGTTGAGTTCGTATGACTTTTGCACGAAACTTGATCTTGACCAAGATCAACAAAAAGGGCTTCAACTGGAGGTTGGCGTTCATATTTCGCAAGAAAATCCATGGAAACAAGTTCGGAAAGAGGCACTGCTCGACTATCTGCCCGATGATGAATCTGGACCACCTGAAGTGGCTGAATTTCGTTTGAAATTACTTGAATTGGATGGAGATGCTTTGGTACTAGTTGGTTTTGCAGCGGCAATCACGGATATTGAAAATACAGACACATTTTTGTTCTATGCCGATCCGGAGGCAGCCAAGGAATCAGTTAGTCTCATTCAACGTTTGGAAGCGTTCGAAAGGCAACGCGTTAACAAAACCATTTTTAAATATCCACGACCGTGGAATAGCTTTGGAAGCGAAATCGAAGTCGATTTACAAGTTGAAAAGAAGCAAAAGGATAAAGTTGAAGTGGAAATTCAGCGGCTATATTCGAATAATAAGACTCCGGCACCGCTTTCATTTCGATTTGCTGAAGATGTTCGCGATGGCTATGTCGAATTGGTGCCAAAACACAAGAATATCGATGTTGTAATGAGAAGAACCGTGTCGGTTGCCGTTCAATCTGCAGCACAACTTGTCGAATGTGAACAACAAACTCATCCAACGTTTCCAGCGAATGCATGGTCACAATACTCCTATGAACTTCCCACTGATCGTGAGTTTTTTTCAGGCTTGAGTTTAATTTTTTCTTCAATATTGAATTACATTGTAATCTTCGTTTCCGGCCACGCAATACATGCCATGTATCTTACACAGTCTTTAGTTTTGTTTTAGTCAATAGGTTAAATGAAAAATTAATTGAATTTTGCGTGAGTTTTAGTATAATTTGTTTTGAAAAATTGTAATTTTTGTTAATTGTAGCCAACAATACCGAGGAAAGCGTCGGTGATAATGATGCAACTGATGTCGAAGCATCGTGCGCTGATGGCGAGGAAGACGAAGAGGTGGAAGAAGGAAAGTCCAACGATTTCATTGGCCCATCCGATGCGATGAAGGAGCTTATTCGAGTTTTGGAATTCAATGCCGTTGATATGTACAGGTGATTAACATTAAAATTGAGTCAGTAATTTGTCAAAATTCATAAGGTAAATGTTTACACAGAGATGATTACACGCATATTGCACTGAAATCGATCAAGCAATACGAAGAGCCAGTCATCACGGAAGTATTTTGTTTCATCGATCCAAGCCGATGTGCTGACCGTTTTGTGAATGCGTTCGCATGGCATCCAACATTGTCTGGCATTTTTGTTGTATCTTACACATACAAAGGATTAAGCACATTCGTCAAAGGTGTCACTTACAATCATTTTCCTATTTATGAATCAATGATTCATTGAATCATTGTAAAAATAAAATTCATTCACCAACTATCTTCCTTCACTTCAGTGAATCACCTCAAGCAAAATGATAAATGATTTTCTTTTTCGAAACATTTATTTATAGACGAAAAAATACCCGATGCCGAAAAGAATAAGCGATCGATAATGTTGTCGAATCCGGTTCTGATGTGGTCATTCGTCGATACACTTTATCCAAAATTGGTATTGGAATCGCCTCGGGAAGTAACCTTTCTGTCATTCTGCCCGTATGACGCGAATTTATTGATTGGTGGCCTAGTAACTGGACAATTGATAATTTGGGATTTAAAAAATTGCTTGCATCGCATCGAACATCCGGAAGAATTAACGGATAAACAAGAGAAAAACCGTGAAAAAATGCATTCGTTCATGACTTGGTCGAAATTTGTTGAGAATATTCAACGGAATGTCGTTCGACCGGTGGCAATTTCACATTATGAATTGTCCCACAAAAAGTTGATAACCAGCATCAAGTGGTTGAATCGCAAACACAATGTAGCTACGACAGGATTGATTCAAGAGAGCATCAAACCGAATGAGTTTTTTCGACAATTTGTGACAGCCTCATTGGATGGCACCGTTTTGTTCTGGGATCTTGATTTTGTCAATCCGGACTTGGCGCCAAGTGAAATCAAGCGTACCGATACAAAGAGGAAACTATCGGTGCCGGAAGAACCTCCCTCACCATATGAAAAGTTGAATGGAGTTTTTCGGCCAGTTTACGCGGCAACATGCGAACAACCAATCTCTAGTTTGATCATTGACGATGGATTGTTCAGGTTTGTTTCCGGAATTTGCGAAAGGAGATGAAAATGTGAAAAGTGGTTCAAAACATGAATAAAAGGAATATCAAGGCGTTTTACAATTGCAGATACGAACCGGTGGGTGATGCTAAAAGTGACAAAATTGACAAGAGAATTGAATTCAAAGTGATACATGAACAACAAGAGAAAGCAAGCAATCGTCTGCTTGTTTCATCTTTGTTGGGCTCAATTGGCACTTACATTTTCGAAGGATTTTTGTACAAAGAGGGAAAGCCGGAAAAAGCGAAAAAGGTTTGCGATTTTGCCAATCGATAAATGTTCTTGATTTAAGCCTTTTAAAATAAGTGGAAAGTCGTTGGATACTTTTTTAGTTAAATTCATTTCAAATTTGTTGAGAAAAAAAATGTTTTTTTTTTCGATATAAAACAGATTGAAACCTATGATACCATTCACAATGGGCCCATTCTAATGATTGAACGTAACCCATTCATGCCTGGAGTGCTTGTGTCTGCGGGACAGAAGATATTCGCCATTTGGAGTGAAAGCAATCAATCAGTTCCAATTCTTTGGCGGCGTCGAGAATCAAACATCACGTGTGCTCAATGGAGCCCAACCCGAATATCATTGTTCTTCATCGCTCGTTACGGTGGCACCATTGAACTTTGGGATTTACTAACTCGCACCGATGCGCCTTGCATTTCACACGATGCAGGCACAACGATAATCACCGTAATAACACAACACAAATTGGGTCTTCCAACGGATATTTTAATGGTTGCCGATCAAAAGGCCAATTTAAGAGCATTCACATTGCCGTCTGTTTCACGGCCCAATCATGATGATCATGATGTAAGTAAATGCATGAATTGAATTGGAGATGAATATATTTTGTTTCTTATTCCTAAAATCTAAACTTAGAAATTCAAAGCGTTGATTGAGAACGAATTGCGGCGGAAGGAGCGATTCAGTGAATGGCAACAATCATACACCGAAAAGAATGAACATTTGAATGAGCCAAAAGAGCTCATTCGCGAAGAATCACGCAGAATACTAGAATTGTCTGTTTCACAACCAACAGATTTAGACCACAAACCGAGATCGGATAAAGAAAAGGCGAAAGATGAAAAGAGACACAGCAGCGTTAGAGCAAAGTATGTACGATTGTTATTGAAACGCTTGACCTAACAATCATATGAACTCTGAAGTTCGAAAATATCTTTAAAAGCAAAATTTTTCGAATGTTTTCCACCTTTATGTTTTCCTCCTTCCTTCTTTTTCACCTTTAATAGGTCTATTTCGAAGAATGTAAAACCAAAGCACGTATTCGATTTGAGTGAGCGCCTACACGCAAAATGGGAAGATAGAATGATGAAACGATCTCTGAAAGCCCTGCTAAAGTTGAAGCGGTTCGATCCCGAGCAAATTGCAATGAAAATGAAACCAGAATTAGATAGGAGAGCCTATAATGCGCAGAAAAAGCGAGCGATTGAACAACAATTTAGAAATATTCACCATGAGGTCAGCGAAATTCGGGCCAGACTAATTCCACCGAAAGATGTCGATCATGAGGCTGAACGCCTCAATTTTATCACAACAAACGTGGAAAATATGCTAAAAAGCGTCTTGGATGGTTTCAAATTCGACATGATTAAAGCCGAACTCAACCAAAAGGTTTGTAGATTTTCTACGCTCAATCCAATAGAAAATCACTTTGTATTTCGAATTAATACAAAATCGGAATTTATTATTCAAATCGTAAATTTTTTCCATTTCTTTCCGCAGTTGGACGCCTCCAAAGCGGATGTTATTACGATAAAATGGCATGAGCTGCTCGACCGTGCGCAGACAACACGATCTAAACTTAGCAAAGCCATATATGAAAAGCGACGTAAAGCGTACATTGGGAAATCAGCACAAATTGACGCCAAAACGAACGAATAAATTGTATCGCTCGTGTTCATAGCTAACCAGCCAATTTGAGACTATTTCATTTTGAAAAAGAAGAAAAAACAAAAATATCATGTTTCAAGCCATTTACTATCAAATAAAGATGTTTTTGTTATTATGAAATTTATTTGGCATTAACTGAAAAAGACGTAAGCAAAAAAAAGAGCGTTGAAATTGTGGAGAAAATGTATGCGCGAATTTTTGAAGCAACCATATAAATATTCGAAAAACTGTTTTTTTATGATTTGCGTAGAAGGTAAATTGTACAAATTGACACGTGTCGCACCAAGATACATCGGCCGAGGCAATATGTAAACTAATTCAATAATAGACGAAAAAAGCGTGTTGGACGACCAAATTTCGAAAATATGTCAGTTGAAACGGTCATTTGCATAACCACTAATTCGCCACAAATAGTTGAAATGAGGCACAACCTGTCTATGGCACTATTGAACTACTTTGAGTCAATTACTGCATAAATTCATAGTGAAACTAAAATAAACACATTGAAATGTGGCTACACCACATACGTACACTGAACTTAATGTATCTTCCTGTTGCATGAAGTGGTTCGGGTCGACGCATCAGTCGAATAATTACTTAATAACGAGTTGCAGAGACTCGAGAAAAGCAAAACGGTTTGCACATAAACCCAATAGCAATATTATTTCCTCTATTTCCCAATGGCTGAAGGTGCATTCGGAATGCATCGATATCAGTAACCAGTTTTTTTGGTCATTGGCCAACATCTACTTCCACTTGGGATTGTGTGTCAGTGTGTATAATCGTCGAAAACCAGAATCAGTGCGAAATGAAAGAAGAAGAAGAAGAAAGCAGCAGCAGCAGCAAAAATATATATGTATCGAAGACAAAACGCGTTCATTCAATTGCTTATATAATTTCTACGTATCGATACAGCGCATTTCATGCATTGGTCGTTGCTATATTGTTGGAAATGAGAAAAACAAATCTACCAATGTGGCATTTGCTTTCTTTTTTCCATGCTCATTTTCTGCGGTGATTTTTCAATTGCGATTACTCAATGAAATGGCAGAAATGAATCACTGAACACTTTGTGTTTGCTTGCTGTTTACACGTCCGAAGATCAATAAACTGTTGTGCAAAGTAAGCATCACGATCAACGTGAATTTCGCATCGATGTGAACCCGTGAAGCACACGATTTTACCGCGACCCAAACAATCGAAAGGCAATAAACCGGGCACCCAAGTCGAGACGAGTAAATGAAGTATTTCAATTACCGGTTGGTTTGAACGAAAATAAAAAGTGGCTTTTTTTTTATTATGAAAACCACTTTATGTGCGAGCGCAATACAAAGTCAAGGTATTCAAATTGCCAAACACACAACGAATAAAAAAAAAATGGATTCAATGACAACCAGTGCAACAAATGCAAGATCACAAGGTTGAATCGGGCCTGAAGTCAAAACACATCACTCGATTTTATTTTCGGTGTGACTGTTGCAATTCAGCAATTAGGCAAAGAAACCCCTCATACTCTCGTCGAAATTGTGTCCAATGCCCACCTTTTTTGTGCACGAAATTTCATTCATGTGTTGAAGCGAGAAAGAAATAAGAAGAAAACAAAACCGACAAGTAGTCGCACCGATGTAACATGTGCAAATGTGTGCAACATCCAGCCCAAAGGCAACATAAGCAACAATCCCGCTGAACTACGGTCAACGAATACGAACCTAAAGCGTACGATGTAATAGTATAACAAAATCGCTGTGATCACCGTGCTGCGCTCATTTTTTTTTTTTGAGAAGGGAGTCCTCAAAAGTAAGAGTCGTTTACATGTGAAGCCGTAGTTTAAGAATACATACGGAACGGTTTAGTTGTAGGTCAATATAAAAAGAAATTCAACTCTTCATCGTACCATCGAATTGTCTAGCGTTTCAATCAATAAGTGTTTGTGTTTATTTAAATTTTCAAAACATAACAAAATGAATCGTTTTGTTGTAGTTCTAGTGTTTGCCTCATTGGCTTTTACTAGTGAGTTTTTATTTATCGTTTTTTTTTTCTCACTTCAAATTCATAAATTTTCGGCAAATATTTTTGTCCGATTTGAAATTATTCCATTTCTATCGTATTGTTCAAATTTAAAACCGTAATTTAATTGGTTTCAGTGTAAAAATTTCGTTAGATTTTCCATAAAATCGAAAAGATTTTCACAGAAGACGAACCTTCGGCATTGCCATTTCACAAAATTGAATAATTCAAAAAGTGATTGCTAAACGGTGTTGATTTATCATAATCACAATAAATAAAATTAATTTTTGCTGTACAAATCATGCATAAAATCACGATAAATTTGCCAACATTTTCGTATGTTCAGAGAGAAGCGTAACATTCAAATGGCAAAGGTCAATATGTGCATTGAAATGCCAATAAAATGGGAAAAATCAAAATGTCATTTGCAACATAAATGGGATTGTCGTGTCTAATTTCCAAGTTGAAAATTAGAAACAAGCTCAACATCAAGCCCATTTAATCGATTGATCTTTAAAGGTGACCCAATAAAAAAACGAAATTAAATGTTTTCAACAACCACAAACAAAAACATTATTTGGATGTGAGTGATTTTCCTGTCAACGCCACCAAAGTTTGCACGATTTAATTCGAGATTTCTCATTACGATTCGAATCCGAAAATGATCAGATCGAATTTGTTCAACATTTCAATTGGAATTTAATTGAAGTATTTTCTCGGTGCATGGAATATCGCCGCAATGAAGACATAATAATTTCATCGAGTCACTGTCCGCTTGATCGAACAGCTGTGGCATTTCTTTAATTTTCCTTTCATTGAATGACAAATTGACTTTCTCGGCATTGTTTTCGAAATGTCGTCGCCGTTGTTGGTTTCGGTATTGTTCATGCAGCTCAGACACGTCATTGTCAGGTCGATTTTCCATCTATCCAATCAAAAGTGGTAACAATAACTCCGAGCAAGAAGAAGAAAAGAAATCACATGCAAAATACTTTCGATTTTATAATAATAATCGCACGACAAAATCGATGACAGAGGAACACAAAAAAATATATCGTAAAATGATAAAAAAATACTCTAAACCGGCTTTTGGTTGCTTTGTCTTTATTTTTCGATTATTTCTTTGTCCGATTTGCTCTGGTTGGTTCGGAATGATGAAACTGGTTTTTTTTTGTTGAAACATCGAATTTTCTTCGAATCCATTTTCGCTATTATACAAGCAAAAAAACGCCAAATCAACTCTTTCTTCGACGAAATAACATGTACAACAACGACGAAGAAGGAGAAGGAAAAAAAAACTCTCGATTTCAGTCGTTTTTGTTTGCATAATTCATCTTCCATATTTGGAATTGGCAAACTAATTCGTCGAAAAACCGAAATGACCATTTGAATATGATTTTGTGCTCAATTCTGGGCGAAAAAAAATCATTTAGTAAGAATTAGGCAAATTATTGCGACCCTGTGCTGAATAAATTTAATCGACCGATATTGATACAGGTAATTGGTGCGATGTCGGACAGTTTGCGACGATAAACGGGGCGCAGTGGACGCACGCGTGTGTGCGCGCTTGTGTGTATTGTTTCATACTTTATGCACAGTTCCGCAGATTGTTATTCATATTGATCGGTATGCTATCGATGCTGAATACAATAACATAGCAACACACGGTGCGCGACAGTGTTGCCAATATATGTATATGATATGAATTTAGAAAGTTGTCCAACAACTAGGCGACACACCATATTTATTTATGCATGAAATTAATGCTAGTTAAATGGCAATCATGGGAATGTTGACGCTGTCGTCGACGACATCGAGCGTTGGCGATACACCGTAACGCAATAAAATTACAGATTATTATGTTTAAGCACATTGTTTGAAAAGAAAAGAAGAAAAATCAGTGACTTCATTTCAATTTTCACAAACTTTGTTTCATTCAATTTCTATTGTAGACGCCCAAAAAGGTGAAACAAATTTCCAATGTCCAAATGACAAAAGTGGCCAATACAAAGATCCTGTCCAATGCGATAAATACTACGAATGTGACGATGGTGTGGCCACCGAGCGATTGTGCCCAGACGGTTTGGTGTTTGACGAAACCATTCGGCTGAAGAACAAATGCGACCAGCCATTCAACGTTGACTGCGAGGATCGTACAGAACTTCGTGAGTTTCACATTGGAATTGACTAAGAGAACACTCTTCCCGTCTTAGAATCGATTGATTTAAAATTCTGTTGACATTTTCAGAACCACCAAAGGGAAACAACGAAAAATGTCCACGCAAAAATGGCTTTTTCGCCCATCCAAACCCAGCCGTGTGCAATCTCTTCTACAACTGCATTGACGGTGACGCCATCGAAATCAAATGTACCTCTGGATTGCATTTCGATGAATACTCAGGCACCTGTGTCTGGCCAGACACAGCTAACCGTGAAGGCTGCAAATCCGAATTAGGTAAGTCAAAGGAATGAAATTCAGTTGTTTGGTCGCACTTCACTTGGATGCCTATTTATTCAGAACTCGCCGCAGATTCGGACGTCGATGACGATGGTTTCCGTTGCCCAACCCAAAGCACCAAAGTCAGCGATTCCAAAGGTCAAATTGTTGCTCATCCAAAATACCCACACGAAACTGACTGCCAGAAATTCTATGTGTGCTTGAACGGTGTTGACAAGCGTCCACTCGGCTGCCCAGCTGGCCAAGTCTACAACGATGCCACAGAAATGTGCGATGCACCAGAAAATGTTCCAGGATGGTTAGTATCGATTCGAACTTTTTTTCTTTGGTTAATTCGGGCCAAATGACCAATTCACTCAATTTACGCCGTGTTTTCCTTTATTCTCACAGCGAGGACTGGTACAAGGAGGAATCCGAAGACAGCAAACCATCAAAGAAATCGAGAAAATAAATGCTGTGAGCAATCAATGATTGTTGCCATTCGATAGACTTATTTTTTTCGTTTGTAATCGTTTTCAGTTTGCGTAAAAAAAATTGTTTCTAGTTTTTGATTTTGTTTATGAAAGCGTAAGACAGGATAAAAAAAAATTCAACAACAAACACCAAGAGATTTTAATATGTAAAATTATAACGAAAACACTTAAGTTAATTAATAGTTTCTTTTTTCATTTCGTTTACTTTCCTCTCCACTCTGTTCTATTCTGTTCTATTTTTTTCTATTCTGTTCTATTCTGTTTTATTTTCTAATTATCTGTCTTTATTTCTACATCTTTTTCTCTCTATCTGTCTGTTTATTTATCCATTCTCGATTCTATTTTCTAACTGAAGGCTCAAATCTGTCTACTCTTGTTCTTCCTGCTCAAAACTTTCGTCTATTCTTGAACTACTTTATCCTTTTGCTCAATTTATTTATGTTTCTCTTTCTAGTAGCAACTTTCTACAATTCTTCTCAAATATTGTCTTTCAACACTCAATTTTTTGCTATCTTTTACTATAACTTTTTCTATCTTCCGATTTCTATTATACTGTCACTTTTCTTTTCTCTCTTTTTTTTCTTTCCCATTCTATTGTCTTTCACTCTTACTTTTCTGTCTTCCTATTTTTCTCTCTCTCTCTATATTTAAAGAAAAACTCTCTCTCCACTTCTATTAAAATTAAAGTTTGAATTTATTTGGAAATCCAATCAACAATAAAGCTAGATACACAGTTCCTTGTGAAATGAAAAAATTTCTCCGGTGAAATTTTCACCAGTGATCTTTGTATCAAGTTTTTTTATATTCAAATTGCAAGTATAATGATTTTTGATATATAAAACAGTTAGCTGCTATCATTATCAACACAATACATCAATAAATTTGTGTTTTGAATTTATTCTTCTATTTATTTTCGCCTCTACAAATTTTTTCACGGTCGTGAAAAATTTTTCGCGTGCAAAATGCACGAGAAAAAAATTTCACGACCGTGAAAAAATTAGCTGTGACCGAAATATATAGAAGAATAAATTCAAAACACAAATTTATTGATGTATTGTGTTGATAATGATAGCAGCTAACTGTTTTATATATCAAAAATCATTATACTTGCAATTTGAATATAAAAAAACTTGATACAAAGATCACTGGTGAAAATTTCACCGGAGAAATTTTTTCATTTCACGCGGAACTGTGTATGGACCTTAAAACTGAATGCTCATAAATAAAATCCGCTTATGAATAATATATTGAGGAGATTATGAAATTTATTGAAGAAAAAAAAAACATAATAATCTGAGTACCGTTCATATTATTTGTCTTTGGCAAAAGAAAATTGATCAATTAACAACACTTTCGTTTTATTGTTTACTTGGCTCCTTTGTCTTATGTCATCTTTTTACGGCTGATTGCACATCAGAAATGATCATTACATAAATAAGGTAAGTAAAGCTACAATTAATGTGGACGGATTTCTGTGCGACTCGTGCGTACGTTCATTCGTTTAACGAACTTTGGTAAATTGAACGCTTTTTAATTGAACTAAAAATTAAATGGCAGCTGATGAAAGTCTGCGCTCCGGTCGTCTCGCATAAAACTCGGCTACTTGTGTCTCACACAAGAGCTGAAAATTACTTCATCGCAAAACGGCATTCGCTCACAATTATCATCGATACGTCTGCGGATTTCAGCAGAAAGTGAGATAAGCGAAGGTTGTTAATTGCATGACAACAACTACGTATTTGTTCATTTCCGCCCAAAGTTTTGCGATCAATCGTGTATGAAAGCTGGTAATTTCCATTCAAAGATTTATTGCAATGATGACAAAATAATCATACGTGCAGCTCATAACGTATGTCGAGCGCGTATGTGTGGGTGGGTGTGATGCATGATTCATTTGTTGTTGAGTTGCTGCGCATTTTTAACGAGAAATAATGTACGAAGATATATTGTTGAACGGAGGGAAAAAAATAGTACATAAAAATATCAAGTCAACGTCAATAATTTTGTAAAATATAATACCAAAACAAGACTAAATCACATGAAATTGACTATATTTCAAAGCACTACAACAACCGTCTACAAGAGCCTATTGCTTTCTTTCCCTTTCACAAATCGAAGTGGTCTTTTTTCTTTGTTCGCTTTACACACACACACACACACACACACACACGTACACGCATACAGCAGATATTTGCAACAACAACAAAAAACCGCTTCAATCGAATGTGATTTGTTTGAGTTGGTGATTTGTGAATCTTGTTCACATTTACAATATTCCACATATGATTAGCGATGAACGATCGTTCGTTGCCGATGTTGTTGTAACTGTAAGTTAGCGACGCGACCACTCACTGTTGCTGTTGCTGCTGCTGAAGACAGCGGCGTGTTTTTAAGACGTAAATATAAGTGTGAACAGTTTTGCACGCACCAACACACAAACAATAACGTTATATTTTCATTGGCTGGCTTGGAGTTAGCTTTAAAATTTATGCTAAAGCAACGTTCGTTTAGTTGGTGTTCAACCTTAGTAACGGAACGGTAACATTGTGAATCACATCATCAAGTACGGGCATTTTTTTCCAGAATTTTTTTTTGATTTTATTTCTCTCTCAGATTTTATTTCGCGATTCGATTCGATATATATTTTCCCGTGCCACTTTCCGTTGGATTATTCGTTTTTTTTTATTGCACGGGCAATAAACCGAAAACGAGCTAGGGAATTTGTCTTTGGTTGGGTCTGGTGTGTGGCGACATTACCTGCACTGCATTCAATTATTTATTATGTTCACCATTCGAAGCCAACCAAAGACAGAAGAGAGAGAAAAAAAGTCAACAGTGAATACAATAAATAGCGTGCCGTGAATACAAAAATTATGGAATAATTCATTCATTTTGTTTCTCTTTTGTTTTTTCCTTTCTTTTTCATTCTCTCTTTTTTTTCTCGGTCGAAGAACGTGTTCTGTGTGATTTGCGTGAACAAAGAATTTTTGGGCATAATCTACCGCAATTTGGTGCATATTTTGTTCTCTCTTTTTTTTCCCTTCGTGTCTCGTCGTTCAGTGTGACGAATACAGAAACATGCGTCAAACATTGTTTACAGTTGCGTTGATTTGTTCATTTGGGATTCTGGGTAAGTTGAATGCAGCAAATGGTGCCATTTTTTTTCTCGTATTGTTGTGAAACTTTTAACCATCGATTTATTTGTCCGATTGAACGGCATACAAAACATTTTGTGTGTGAAAGAATTTTTCTATTGATTCTACGTCGGCCGACGTTTGTTTCAATATTTGCATTTTGAGCGTTGAATAATTGAGAAAATTAAACGTTGCCTATCTCCAATCTAAAAAGGCCGTTTGGCGAATGTAAAACGAAAATGCATTGCATATCAATCCAAGGTGAATAGTGTGAGAAAAACTGAACCAAAATTAAACATTCATTAAGTAATTATTGCCGTTGGTGAATGTAAATGTGCGTTCGATCGCGCGGCTGACGTGAGCCGAGAATGCGAAATAAAACTGTGGGCAAGCCATAGTTGTTCTTTGAACCAATCATTTGGTACGTGAGAACGCACCAAAACCAATACAAGTCCCTCATATCGACAACAAAACGTCCAATATCTTTGTTTATACTTCGAAATGGCGATAGCTTTTATGCTTGACACGAGCAACGATGTCAGCTCAATGTATGTTGCTCCAACTATTTTCACTTGTTGACTGGCCGTCTGCAAAATGGAGCCAACTACTCAATTCATTTTCGTAATTTTGCTCGCTGTGTGCACTGTGCAATGTGCGCCGTGCGCGCGCGCGCGCGCGCTCATGGCAACTCAATTAAACTTTTTCTTTTGTCGATTTTAATTACAACATTCGGTCGGTTTTGGTCTAGTTTATTTTTTATTCTGCCACCGTTCTGCAACTTCGATTGATATAGCAGCTTGAGTTCTCAATATATGTAGCATGTAGCAGCCATTGCCATTGGTGCAATACTCGCATTGTGGTAACGGTTCGTGAAGCGCTTGGTATTTCATCGATGGCAAACACACCACAAATTGAAATGTTCGAACAGGCATTCATTATGGATTCAGTAGCGTCTGTCAAATTCGCTATTGTTGCATCGGCATGGTGATAACATCGAAACATGACCTTCTTCAGCCCCATTTCATATCAAACCATTGACATTTCAAACCCGAAATTAATTCGATTCGCGGTAATTTCAAACTCGAATGTTTTCCATTTTATGAATTTCAAGTTTGAATTTGTGGTCGATATAAAAAAATATGGTCGTCAAAAATCCGCTTCTTTAAAGGGTTAAATTTATAAATTGCTATTCCCATATGTTTCAAATACGACTCGGCCCAATCAACGCTGTGATCAACAACAGCAACAAAAAAATCACTGGATACAAAACGTGCACACAAAATTAGTTTTGACACTTATGATTTATGGCTAAAAATGGAAATCGACCGCAAAAAGCAAAATGAGGAAATGGAAATGAAAGTGTTTTTGATGATCATTCATAATGTTTATACTTTATTTTTAACGAACGTGTTTATTTTTGTGGCTTCGCATCATTTGATTTCACGATTTTTTCTTTCATTTCGTTTTTGTTGTGAAAACGTAAACGTTGATGGAATTGAAGAATAAATGGATATTGTTTAATCAAATTAAACCGTTCATTATCTCTTTTTCCATGTTGCGAAAAAAAACTGCCACCATCACTGTTGTGTATTGGATTCAACAAAACGAAACATTTACTCAGTTGTTGACTTTTTTCATGCAATGTCATTAGCGTAGCACTTTTATTCAGTCGTTTTTGTGCATTTTTTGAATTCATAATTGAAACAATCCTGATTTGAATTTTCAACCAGACATTCGAGATGGATTTCACTTGAGCGGCTCGAAAGTGGTTATTTAACGAGAGAAAATAAACACATCTGACGTGAGTTTGCCTCTAACAATCATGAGACACATGAATTTTTGATTTTTCGTGTATCGCTCATTACGCCCCAAAACTGAAGCATTGTTTGTTGTCTGTTACTAAAGAATAGTTTCAGTCGATTTACTTTCTTTTCGAAATGATTGATGATTGCAGTGTTTTTCTCCATATCAAATGTCTCGATGTGTACAAAATTTGAATAATGAAGTCGATTTAATGTCTGTGTTGGGCAAAGTATGAAGTCATTGAAAACAGAACTGGTTTATCTGTTGACATTTGTAAACCACAACTTTATTCAGCCGCATTTTTTATGTATTTTTTGAGAATAACGATCGATTTTTTTTTTACTTTCTTTGTTTTTAGCCCATGGCGCTTCAGCTCCACACTGTCCGGAACCCTACGGCGAACAGGTAAACATGATTGTTGATTTTAATTTATTTATTTTTGCATACGTCAAATGTTTATTTCAATGAAAACAAAATTTCTATAATTTCTTACATTGCAAATTCTTCAGGCCTACGCTCATCCAGACAATTGTGATCAATTCTTCTTGTGTACAAACGGTACATTGACATTGGAAACATGCGAAAATGGTTTGTTGTTCGATGGAAAGGGTAACGTACACAACCATTGTAACTACAACTGGGCCGTAGACTGTGGAACCAAAAAATTCGACCGTAAGAATCATTGACATATTCTAATCATGAACCTAAACAATTTAGATGGAATTTTCATCGTTAATTGAACTAAATTATCGTTTTATTTTACAGCAAACCCAATTTCATCACCAGGATGTGAATATGCTTTCGGTGTCTATCCAGACAGTGCAGAATGTTCAACCACTTACTTGAAATGTGCTTTCGGTGAGCCATCACAACATCACTGCGACGAAGGTTTGGCCTACGATGAACGCATCCACGGATGCAACTGGCCAGATCAACTTCTTCACATTTGCAATCCAGAAGGTGGTTTTTAACTTTTGCTTTGACGATTTTTCAACTCAGTTTATTAATATTTGAATTTACCGTGTGATTTTTAGCCGTTGTTGGTTTCAAATGCCCAGTCAAGGTGGACTCAAGCTCACCATCGGCTCGTTTTTGGCCATTCCCACGATACCCACTCCCAGGCGACCAACATCATCTTATCACATGTGTCGAAGGTCATCCACGTTTGATTGCATGCGGCGAAGGATCACTCTTCAACGAACACACATTGACCTGCGAAGAACTTAAAAAATAAATTCAATCTTCATTCCTGTTGTATTCATTGCTTTTACACTTTTTGATGCGTCCTTTTAATTTAATTCAATTCTTGTGCAAAAAAAAAATCAATCAAACAAACAAAAATATTCAGCCGTTACCAATTACCGTTAAACCCATCGATTTAGCGCACCTGTAGAGTTTGCTATGGAATAAATAAACGACAGAGAACTTAATTCCATACAGTCTATTAATTTGCATCAATTTAGAAATTAATCTCCATTCAGTCAAATCGAAACCTATTATTTTATGACAATGAACAATTTATCTTTGAAATGGTTATAAACTGAATATCGATTTGAAACACAAAATTGCCTTCTAAAAAACATAAATAATCTTAAAAATGAATTTGTGAAAAATTTGTTGAAGAAGACGAAGACGAAGAATTGCGCTGAATTTAGCTTTTCAAAAGTGTTTCAATCAGTCTGATTTCGATTTATATATAAATAATGTGTTCTACTCCCGAAATATATCTGGCAATTTCGACATTTCCATATAATTAACGGAACATCATTTTGAACTATTTCTCGCTAAATATGGTTGTCAGTAAAATAAGTTCATGCACAATGAAGTTGTTGAAGCAATTAGAGCGCAATGACGATGTACTGTACATAGTCCGGTATGTTTCAAATGTTTATTCGCTATTTGCCTGTTGACGGGCCAACATATCGCAAAGCTAAAAATAGAACAATCAACACTGCTTTTAAAATAGAATGTGTGAACGAATTGATTGGTAGACACGGCCATCATGGTGAATAAGCCCATGCAATCGAGTATCAATGGAGCACGTGTACGTATAATTGTGTGCGAAAATCCCGTGTGCTGCATCAAATATGATACATAATTGCAAATATTGTTGGAACTAGTTGAAAATTCGATTTTAACCCTTAAATCGACTCTTTCGCCCACAAATTCAATGAAGGTGTTCGCACTAATTTTCAGTCGCACCCAACGATGTATGCATCGATTCATCCAGGTACTGAGCCCATCATCCATGAATTGAAACACAGTAAAGAGTTTGATATTCAATGGATGTAGTTAAATACAGGTGAATTACAATGGTAAATTTGGTAAAATCGATCGATGGTATGGATAAAAATGGAAACAAAAGAGACTGCGTTCAATCAAAATATTTTGTGTAACCCCAATCGAAGCATATATTCATCAGGCGTCTTCATCTTCAGCAAAAAATTACAACACCATATAATAACACACCACCGTCGCTGCCGCTGCCGCTGCCGCCACGCGTGAACTATTTGAAATTGGATTAAAGCTGAAAGCCAAATTTTAGACAACTGAACCGCAACCGTACACTATTCCGTCGAAACGAGGCGAAAAAGTGTAAATTCATGTTTTATCGACATACAAATCGAATCAAACGCCAACAGTCACGCCGAACGATAGCTACGAGAGTGGTTCCAAATACAAAGCATCAGCACATTACAAAATCACTCGCGTTCATCTTTCTCCACCACAATGAACACGTCAAATTCATTGTGCCGGATACAAGCCCCGTTACAACAATAGGCCGATAAAACAAAGACAACCACATTCACTCCGAATACAATTAGCGCAACGAGATATTAAATGGAAAAATATGTACAGCACAACATATAGTTCGACGTCTGAGCGCCACAATGAACGACATGGCTTTTTCGCTTAACACAAATCTAATTGCATTATTTACACGTTCTATTGTTGTGCTGCCTCGCTTTTTTTTCATCCGGCATTTTTTGCCATTTCCACCCTCGAAAAGTTTACACACAACTTGAACTTCGTTGGATGCGATTCGAGAAAAAAGTATTGTTATCCGAATGCAAATAAACGAATTGGAAAACCAAATTAATTTGGAATTGCGTTCCAATTTTCATTAGAGATTTGTTGCTAATTTGTTCTGGTTTCCATATTGATTTTAACCATCACGCCCTTCTGACGTATGATTTTGAAATGATTTCAACTTTTCATTGCATTTCGCAAATTATTTTTTTTTCTAATCGCAGAGTTTCTGATATGAAAGAAAAAAAATGAGAAGCAATTTCCTTAATGATGCAAAATGTTGACTCTACGAAACCATTCTGAATGGAATTTGATGCTGACTTCAGAGCTGTGTTTTCTGGTTCGCCAAAAATTATTCGTCATCCTAAGACTGCTTATGCAAAGTCGAAATGTTCGACAAAAGTTTTGTTTGCCAAACGGGCTGGGTTGGGAACAAGCATTTGAAACACATTGTCATGTGTCGGTTGTCAGGGCTATGGAAGTATGTCTGTGTATCTCTGTTGGAGTGCATATGCTGGTAGCATCAACAAATTGTCGACGCTGAGTGGCATGATTGTGATTCGTGTGGTGCTCAAGTGAACGACAGAGAGTCGAATAACTTTTGGATAAAGAATTAGTTTCGTTGTGAAAACAATGTGTTCCTCTCTGTGCGATATGCATGCATTTTTCCAACAGAAATCCGTTGAGATACCAACTACTAATTTAAAATGTGTTGTACCAATGTGACTCTGTCTCTTCATTTGCATCTCTTTCGCACTGTTTCGTTGAGGTTTTCCCAACTATTCTCCAGAATAGAGAGTACACAGTGCGGTTTTCGATGTCATTTCATCGAATTTCTTCTTTGGCTTCTTGTGCGGAGTAAACATTTTCCAAAAATGTTGTCGCAATCAAAATGCATTCGAAACAAACAAGACAAAACAATTGTTATGTCAGTGTACTACTAATGATAGAATGGAAAATCGTACCACTGTATGTTGTCGTTTAACATTTGCCGAAAGGAAATATATCCAAATGATGCTATTCAACGAGTGTATAGACACTAAAAATAGCATAAATCTTGTATCTATTGACTGATGCAAATGAAATATTGATAAATGCTCGGGCAGTACAGTGAAAAATAAATACACACTGTTCAATATTGCATGGTTGAAACACACTTAAAATATACCTTTCGGGTCTCATCTATCGACTCGAAATTGGTCACTTTTTGAACATCTCCAAAAGTTGGACATCGACTTGTCCAAACCGAACATTTGCATAACATATGCACACAGATTGAATGCTCAAGTACTATGCGGTGCATCAAATAATATGGGCAAAACTGTTCGAATATGGTATTTCCGATTCGAGAGCGTTTGCATCATCACAGTTTGCGGCAGCAAAGTTGAAAGTCGGTGAAAAAATGTCAACATTTTACTATCCCAGTGATGAAATTTGACTATCCCACTGGGTGACTTACTTTATCATCTGATTTTATTCCATGAATTGATTCATTGCTTTGCTAAATTAATGCAAAAGATCTGACATTGTCATCATTTCGATCGATTGCTTCAATTTTTCAACGTCTGTTTTGAGCATTGAATCAGTGCATGATATGTTTTTAAAAATAGAATCGATTTTTTTTGCAATGCACACCTGAACTTCTGTTTCACACAGAATTATCGCTTGTCATGAGATTTCAGTCTGATTGCATCTTTATCCAAAGCCACACGCTTCGAAAAAAATTCTCCAAAGATCGAAAAAAAAATTTCAAAAAAAATTATTCCAATCAAACCTTTACAATTTCCAGAGAATCAAAAACGTAAAATAAAATCAAAATCATAATGGTTTGCTCGCGATTTCTGTCTGTGGCGCTGGTTTTATGTGGAACATTCTTACCTTTGAATGCATTTTTCAAGGAAGAAAATGACTTGAATGATGTAATAAAAGTGTTCCGTGATATGGAAAACACTCCACCACTTATTACCGAACGATTGGAAAGCGCTTTGGCCACAGGAAAAACCACGTACTCCTCCGATGAACTGACTGAACTATTCCAGTAAGTTTACTTTGAATCATATATTGTCAGCTCAATTTTTTTTTATTCACAAAATAATTAATTCACACATTTCAATCATTCCACAGAACGGTATTCTCTGGAGTAGATGATGACAATTCAGAGGATGGCTCGTTTGGATGTTCTGCGTGTAATTTCGATGAGGAGGAGGAGCTAATGATTGGTGATGATGAAGAGTTACAAAATAATCTCCTGAAGAGCTTTTTCCCAGTCAACTTACCAGAAGAATTAGAAGAAGAAGGAACAGTAAGTGAAGAAAAAGAAGAGGAACTAGGAGTAGATTTAAAAGTTGAACATCTGGACGAGGCTGAACAAGTCCAACCTGACAAACATCTGGACGAGGTTGAACAAGTCCAACCTGACGAACAACTGGACGAGGCTGAACAAGTCCAACCTGACGAACATCTGGACGAGGC